AGGGCTCTTGGTTGGGTCCAGGGGGCAGAGCCCCCAGAAGCTCAGGGGTTTTAGGCGTTTAATTACGGTCAGATGAGCATTTTTGATACCTTATTATTTGTGACACTAGCAGGACACTATTTGGCATGGGGTCCAGGGGGCAGAGCCCCCAGAAATCAGGGGTTTTAGGCATTAAATGACCGTCATATGAGCATCTAAGGGCCCGCCTTAGGGCCCTTGGTGGAATCCAGGGGGCAGAGCCCTTAGGATTTTAGGCATTAATTTTAATCATGGTCAGATGAGCATATTTTGATACCCCATTATAATGTGACACTGGCAGTTAACTATTTTTTCTTTCTCGCTCTCTTTCTTTCTATTTCTCTTTAATATACTTTTTCAAAGAAAGTGTGGGGGAGGGGCTCGAGGATCCCGATCCCCGCCGTTCCGCGGGCCCTGATATGTAGGCATCTCAAGAAGCATTTTCTTGCCTGGCTGTAAATTTAGGAATTTGTCATTTTCCAACAAACGCATGAAGTGAGGAAAATTATCTCATTTCAGCATTATTTGTTAACCACCGTATGGAATTATAAATAAACCACGTTTGGATTCTATTTCTCCAACCCCCCCCCCCCCCCATCAGTATGCCAGTGCCCCCCCCCCCCCCCCCCCCCCCCCCTCCGATCTACACCTTGTTGGCGGGAAAATTGCAACTGATATCCCCTACCTTTCTTCATTCTCTTTTTTTTCCTTTCCCTTTCTCTCCTCTTTCACTTTCCCTTCCCTTACTTATCTCTCTTTTAGGTTTGCTGGGGGGGGGGGGGGGGAGGGGCACGGTCATTTTGGTCCCCAACCAGCTCCACACATTGTTGGCGGGATTAACCGCAACTGATCTCCGCTTCTTTTCTCCCTTTTCTTTTTTTCTTCCTCTTTTTGTTCCCTTTTAGCTCTCCTCTTTTCCTTTCCTTCCTTCTCTCTTTTTGTAGCGGGGACGGGGGGGATGCTAGGGTCTTTTGCCCCCCCCCCCTCGATCCACAACTTGTTGGCGGGAAAATTGCAACTGATATCCCCCTTCTTTTCTTTTCTTCTTCCTATTTTGCCTTCCCTTTATCTCCTCTTTATCTTTTTTCTTTCCCTTTCCTTCCTTCTCTTTTATTTTATTTTTTTATTGGGGGGGGGGGGGGAAGTGGGAGGCAAGTCCTCCCCCCCCCCCCCGATCTCCTTCTTCCCTCTTTTCTTTTCTTCTTCCTCTTCTTTTTTTCCCTTTCTCTCCTCTTTCCCTTCTTTTCCTTCTCTCTCCTTTTTTTTTTTTTTTTTTTTTTTTTGCGGGGGGGGGGGGGGGCCAAGGCACGCTCGCCCCCCCCCCCTGGATCCGCGCCTGCTCATAAATACTTGTTATAGATCTATAATTGATTTGATATTTAAAATATAATCTTGAAGAAGTATGTAGAGAGGGAATAATAATGCACATAGGCCCCAAAGGTATGACGGTATCCTACGAAAAGACTTTGGATCGACAATGGAAAACGGTGTGTAACATTCTTATCTCTCTTATTTATATGTTATAGTGTAATGATTTGTGATTTAATGTTTATATTCAGCTTTTTAAAATTTCTGTATAATTTGTATTATCACGTTTTTACATTTGCATTTCGCATCCCAGAGAATTACGTACCGAACTCGTCTATATTTTTCTCAAAATGATAGTGAAACTAATCGTACATTTCGCGTCCCATGGAATAGCAACAAACTGACTTGTGATGGCACTTTACAGCAATTAAAAAGATATGATGGGTTCGGAGCAGTGACAACTCATTGTCGCAGAAGTTGTCGCTCATCTTGGCAAAGACGGCTTGCAAAATTGGTCAATGATTTTATGAAGAAATTGAAATTCAAACCTTAATTATCCTGAAGATGAAACTCAATAAATGTGGTGTCATATGAAAGAGCAGGTTTTTCTCCATATTCCCCATAGGGGGCCACCCCCGGAATTCTAAAAATATCTTGGTCAAAACAGCGATTGAAATGTTGTTTGCATCCTAGCTCCAAAATTTGCCACTTCCCTGAGCCGTGGCTTAAGTGGGGCTAGACGTAAGGATAATATTCAGGTGCTATTTTTTTCGCTAGCCCCAAGGGATCATTCGCTGCAACAGTTTGAAAATACCCTTCCCACATTTTTTTAATCAGCTAAACGTGCACGTTGTCTCCGCGATATTGCCATTGACGTTAACGTTTATTCACTTCAGTGTTTTATTGTGCGAACGGCTATCCATACTAGTCAATGGCAAATAGCGCGGGGACAACGTGGCTCAAGCTGCAAGTTGCGCATAACATGCGTACGCTTAGCATACGCTTGCATATCGAGTGATACAGCTGTTTGGCTAAATTTAGCAAAACAACATAACTCTGCGTGTACGTCTTTTTCGTCGATTCTGATCAAAATGCTATGAATATTGCAGGGAAATCTCTAATATCTTTAATTCTTACCTCTTTTATTTGGCAATCTACCCATCAAAAGAAAAGAAATTTATTCCTCTAAGGCTCTGACAGGATTTTATAGTCACTTAAAATATTGAATGATGATAAGCAAAATACTTCTGAAAGAAGGCGGAGCATTTTTCTGCCCAGAATTTGGTCGCGCCGAATAGAATTCGGTCATGGGATTTGTGCGTGGTATCTCCGTTGCCAAGGAGCGAGGCGTATTTGCGCACTATTTTCATACAATTGCGCGATAAAGCACTGAATGTCAATGCGTTGACTGAATACTGGACGAGCGATACCGCATGGCAAGGGTATTGTATAAATACCTCTTGCACATCGGCAAGTGCATCATTTGCAAATTCGCTGCGATGGAGCGAACGCGGAAGAGCTCTTCACACACATACTAAATTCATTGTGACAGCACACGTAGTTGTTTCGCAATAGACTTCTACTTATGGCTATGCATGTTAGCGCATGTGCTAACAGAACGCAGAAGTGCAGAAAGTTGTGCGACACTGACCAATTTCGAGCCCTAAATCTGATTTAATTTTGAGAGTTAAGAAAAGTTGTTTAGCTGCCTGATTTGTGCAAGTTTCGTGGCTCATACATGTAAATTACTATTTTTAATTGTTACAGCTGTTGAAACGGCTGTCTGACCATATACTGGGAATGAACCGAATACTGGGCGCGCTACCCTATGCGTGTTCCCAGCGACCCCCCCCCCCCCCCCCCCCCCCCTTTCAGCAAAAGTCTGGGGTGTAAAGTCAATACAGGTCTACCTTTTTCTTTTGTTATACAAGCCTTTTTCAACACCCCCCTTTTCAGCAAAATTCCGGGGTGTAAAGTCAATATGGGTAGACCTTTTTCTTTTGCTACGAGCTGGAGAGTTTGGGAACATGCGTGGTATCCCTCCGTTCACGGAGTGGGGGGCCGGGCATATTGCCTAGATTTTTTTGGGGCTGTATCTTTTGATAGAATTAGAAACATCGGTGAGCATTGAAATTTGAAATGTGTCCTTTTGTGATTTTTGCAATTATCCAACCATGATGGTGAAAAATAATCCAAAAGGGAAAATTGAAAAATCGTTCAGACATAGGACGGATGGGCATGGCTAGTAATATGAATGAGTATGCATGCGGGCCTGCATCCAGGAATTTTGGAAAGGGGGGGGGGGGCACAATGAAAGACGGACAGAAGCTGTATTCCGCGTCTGTGCGGACAGGGGGTGTCAGAGGAGGGATGTGCCCTTTGCAGTATGCCCTTAGCCTTGTCACACTGTGCAGACACTGTTACGCACAGCGACTGGCAAGGCTTTGTGTCTGCAAACCATCAGGACATCTGCCTAGTACAAGTAGGCCTGCAGCAAATATAGTATACTTTGTTTGCCAGATCACGTTTGGGGGCTTTCCCCATATTTTCACAAAATAGGCTTAGGCGGAATATAAGGTGGGTGTCATTTCCTGTTATTTGAACTCTCATGATCTTTCTTTCCTCATCCGGAAGCAGATGTCAACTCAGATTATCTAGGAATCAACAGAGTCTACAAAATTCCCAGAGAACTACTAAAAAGTTATAAACTATATAAAAAGAGAGAGAGAGATTGAGAGAGAGGGGGAAGAGAGAGAGAGAGAGAGGGGGAAGAGAGAGAGAGAGAGAGAGAAGGGAGGGGGAGAGAAGGGGAGGAGGGGAGAGGGAGAAAGAGAGAGAGCGAGAGAGGGGGATATAGAGAGAGGGTCAGAGAGAGAAAGAGTAAGGACATAGTGCCTCTGACAAAGTCTATGTTCATGTAGTCGGAACAAATTAATATGGGTTGTATTCCTCTAAATTTAATGTCATGATGATTCAGTTTATTTGGCATCATAAAACACATTACAAATCATAAATACAGAATAAATAATAGGCCAGGACATGTAAAAAGCAACTTGTGCTAGTACATGAGGCCCCCGACAAGGTAAACGTAATAATAAATTAACTGGCGAAATGAATAAAACTTACTAGGTACATGTACACATGTACATGTATATGGTATGTACAATAAGAAGAAGAAATACAAAAAGACTGACCATTAACTATCAGCAGATATCACAAACGCACAAGAGCTATACACAAAAAAAAGGATAAAGAGAAGAAGATGTGGGAATGAGAAAGAGAAGAAAGGGAAGTGGTGAGAAAGCTAAAGAGAAGAAAAGGAAGATGTGGGAATGAGAAAGAGAAGAAAGGGAAGAGGTGAGAATGAGAAAGATAAGAAAGGGTCTACTCAGTCAAGGTTTACATTCTTTGAAAACTGTAACGTTTGGATAGAGTTCTAAAACGAGAAAGTTTGGAGCTGGATTTAAGGTTGTTATCCCCTCGCAGACGAAGTCCGAGGGTACTTTCGGTTTCCGTTTGATCCAGCAACAGTGCTAGCCGGAAATGACTGTGTGATGCTGTCGTCGAGAGAACAAAGTAGAAATACAATAAATGCTGCGTTAGAATTAATTTCATGAAGAGCAATATTTAGTATTTCTCACGCCCATTTCATTGTTTCCCTTTAATCATTGCAGGAAGGTGAAAGGAGGGAGCATCGATGTTCACCCTACCGAGAAGGCCCTTGTTGTCAACTATGAGCTGGAGGCAACCATCTTGGGTGAGATGGGAGACCCCATGCTCGGGGAGAGAAAAGAATGCCAAAAGATGTGAGTATGTGATTCAGTGCTTGCATGTGTACCATCATAACCATGCTGGGCCCCGTCTTATAAAGAGTTATGATAGATCGAAATCACTCGTAAGTCCTCCAATCAATGGCAAATTTGCAGTCTCCTATCTCTTATGTACATATAGTAGCGATTGCTATCAATCACAAATAAGTTGCGATTGATATCAAATCTTTATAAGACGGGCCCTGTTCTACAAAATGGAATGTACCCTACATTTCAATCGTCAATAATTAACTTTAATGATTATGCTCATGTAAAAACGAGTGTCACAAACGTATTAAAAGAACTGATTTCTATTGAAGTTAAATCTGGTATTATGAAAACAAAACTGCAGTGTCTTGGCATTGATGCAAAAATTATGTTGGAAGTTCATAGATTATAATGATTGCAATGGTAATTGACTTCTCTTATGACTTGTTTAAATTGTCTTGTAAAAGTCGTTCATGATTATCAACAAAGGATTGGCAGGAGATTGGAGATGGGTAAAGCCGAGCTTGTTTTATCTGAAAAATAATGACTTTGTGAAGTTAATGATGTACAATCAAATAACTTTTCATTCAAAAGGATAGAAAGCTTATGGTAAGGGATAGATCAGCTACATCACAACATTCATACAGTAGGCTTTACGGTTGCACCATGTGAGAGGGGGAGAATTGGGGAGTCCTGAAAAGGACTGTTGGTAATCTTTCTTGAGTGTATTTAGTCCTGAGAAGGAATGTTGGTAGTCTTTCTTGAGCTTATAGTTCTAAAGAGAACTATAGCACCGGTGGGAGAGGATGGGTAGTAGGAGGGGCTTGAGGTTTCAAATAGGTTGACTACCCATTGACAAAAATTGAAAGCTGTTGTGTTTATCATCATTCATGTTAAATCATCATTCTTTTGCTTGCAGTATTCGTCTAAGAAGTTTGAACTCCACCACAGATATTGCAGCTCTGGCGAGAGAAGTCGTTGAGAAATGCAAGCTCATCCACCCATCTAAACTGCCAGAAGTAGAACAACTCTTATATTACCTTCAGAATAGAAAGGAAACGACACAAAAAGGTGATTATTTTTTTTCTCAAAGGGTTGTGACTCCTTGAAAATAAGTTAGCATCTCTTGCAAAGCTCAATTTTAACATAATACACCATCAAGATCCAGAAACTGTGAATTTCCATGACAGCTAGGGAGAATGCTCATGTGTTTATGATTCATCGTTGTCAGAAAACCTGTATTTTCACTGGCTACTTTTAATCGTCTGGGGAAGGAAGGACATTTGTCTGTGTTATTTATTTATTTATTTCATATTTGTCCTTGGCTTGGAAAAAGTAGTTTCTGACTTTTGTCAATGTATAATTGCCACCTGGAGTTAGATATTCATTGAATGATACTTGTACAGTAGGCTTGCGGTTGCACCATGTGAGATAGAGGGAGGATCGGGGAGTCCTGAAAAGAACTCTCGGTAATCTTTCTTCAGTGTGTGTAGTCCTGAAAAGGACTTGTTGATACAGTGGCCACCTGTCTGTAGTGGTCATATCTTTTGTCTCCCTTGAGAAAGAAATATGTGTCGTAGAATGTGTCTAGAAAGACCACCTGTCTACAGTGGCCACTTTTTCTGTTTCCCTTGGGTGGCCTTTATGGACAGATGTGACTGTACACGTAGTTTTATACATGAACAAAGTTGTACTCTGTCATGAAGAGATAAAGCTAAATATCCACTCACATTTTCTTTTCTCTTTCATCTGTGTCTTCATTTTCCAGCTGGTGCTAAGAAGGGAGAACTAACAGGCAAACTCAAGGATCCCCCACCATACGAAGGGACGGAGGTAGGTATCTGCTATAGTCAGATTATCAATGTTTCATGTGCCACTGTGTATATTAAAGAAAGTCAGTGAAATTTAATTGTTATTGCACACAATTGCTAGCCATTCATTTGAGCAAAATGGCAACTCCCATGAGAGAAAGTCTAGCAAGGAAACTGCTAACTTTGGAGAGATTGTTTTCCTTGCTATTGGCAATCAAAATGGAGTAATTTCACAATATTTACTCTCAGCTAAAATTTGTTAGGTTTCATTTTTGAAATATTATTTCCCCCTAAAAATGGAAAATAAGAGAAAGCTACAGGGGAATTGTGTTTTCGTGCACAACTTATGCCACATTACCACTGAGAAAATTGGTATGCAATATGCATGGTATTTTGTACCTAGTCAAGTTTGTAACTGTTTTAATAGGACAACAAATCGTGGCAGTTTGCAAATTCTCACAGAAATATTTTCCCAAAGAAAGATCCCCACAGAAAGATTTGCCCACATATATTAAAAATGGGATGATAAATCAAAAAGTGAAATGAGGATAAAAAAATACACCATTGATATGCATATTTATATAATATTTTACAGTTGAGTTCTGCCTTTGAGATGGTACCTCTCAAGTACCTCTCAAGTATGTTCTGGGGGGTGTTTCACTTAAAGTTGAACTTATCTCTAAGTTGGACTTAACAATTATGGAAAGCCGTAGCATTTATAAAAATATTGTGTACTAGTTATTTTAAAAGGCACAAAATGTTGATTTAAATCATTCATATTTTCTATTATCAAGGAGATTTCATGTTCTTGATGTAGGATTTATAAAAATTCTAAAATACTTGAATTTTCACTTTTGAATATATTTTTTTAAAGGCTACAATTGGCTCTCCATAATTTTTAAGTCCAACTTAAGATCTTTGTGAAACACCTCCCTGGTGCGTTTAGACGTTTGCTAATGCTATAGGCACTAACATCTCAAGTGCAATCTCAAATCATATTTCAGTTGAACGAGGTTGCAAACATCAATGATATAGAGGATTACATTGAGCTGCTGTATGAAGATAATCCAGAGAAGGTCAGAGGAACAGCTCTTATTCTACAGCTGGCAAGAAATCCAGACAACTTAGAAGAACTACAATCAAATGGTAAAGTGTCATTAATGGTAGAGACATGTTGAAAAAACATAATATTTCAAATTATACTCCACATTAAAGGCATCGTTTAACAATGTTAAATCTGAGATGCACGGCCCTACGTGTTATCAGTGTCTGTGATATGGTGTAATATTGAAGCTCTAAACAAATTGCGCTTCAAAATGATCAAGAAGTGCCTCAAAAAAGTAAAAATCTTTGAGTGACCGGTTTACCATACTCGTTTTCCCCAATAGACTGTAGTGTTATGAAAACCGTTAGGCAAACGCAAAATTTGGTTTCGATTTCCAATCATTAATATCTTGATAATCAGACGATCGGCTTGTAGAAGTCATGGGGTTCCTGACTGACCTAAATATAATTATCATTGCAGCTTGAGCTAAATCCAGGTTTTTGGTTTAGAATCTGAGACAAAGTTACCAGATCCCTTAAATGGTAGAGACATGCTGAAAAAAACATGAATCATAATGTGAAGTGTAATTTTAAATATATCCAGAATCAGAAGTGCTAGTTGGGACGTTGATTTCTATGGCTGTTGTGTAAAGTGAAATGGCATTGAACTCATATTATGTGATCTTAACCAATTTGTAAATGAATGGATATTATGTACACTCTAATAAACAAGTAGGAAAATTTCAGAATTGAGGAGACATGTTATCAAAAAGTATGACATGCTTCCTCACATACACTAGTAGACTTGATAATTATCAGCAAAATGATGTTGTAAACTCATGAAGTGTTCATTAAACATTGATGCAAATATTTGTGTGCTGATGTTTAATGAGTGCCAACGGGATGAACAGAAGTTTGTCATTACATTTATTTAAACATGTTTTAGGTAGCATTGTTGTTAAGGTTGCCAATTGCTTTTTGAAATTCATTCTCTGTGAGTTCAGCTTTTAAAATTGTCAAATTACGAAGTTGGTGAAATAGAACATCAATAGTCTCCAATAAACAGTCCAGATTTGTTGGTGTCATTTCATACCCTTTGTCATGATCATAGAGAATTGTTATTCAATTACTGCATAGAAACTGTGTTACAGTCAAATCTGCTTTAACAACCACCTGTCTACAGAGACCACAGTTTTGTTTCTTTTGAAACATGTTCTAAAGGAACTTGTACATAAAGACCCCTTTTCTCGTCTCCCTTGGGTGGTCTTTATAGACGGGTTTCACTTTATCATAATTTGCCATCATCGTTTTGTTTGCAGAAACTGTACTTGGAGCGCTGGCCCGGGTCCTGCGTGAAGAATGGAAACACAGCGTCGAGCTGGCCACCAACATCGTCTACATCTTCTTCTGTTTCTCCAGCTTCAGTCAGTTCCACAGCATCGTAGCTCACTTCAAGATTGGCGCCCTCGTCATGGGCGTGGTCGAGCACGAGCTCAAGAAACACCTGTCGTGGAACGAGGAACTTCTCAAAAAGAAGAAGACTGATATCCTTAACAAAGATGAAATTAGTAATTATCCTTACCAGAGACAGCTGTAGAATGAATGTAATGTATGTCTTGTCATAAGCACTTTTTTCCCCTGAAACAGCTGCGTCCTCTTCCTACTAGAAAACATGCAGCTCCTTTTTATATTTTTCGGAGTTTCCTCCGTAATTTTGATTCTTCAGTAGTAAAAAAAGAAAATGTATTAGGCATAACGCAGTTAATATATTTTTTTCCCTTTTGGGTATGTTTTGTATATTATTATATCATTGGCTTCTGCTTTAGATTCAAACATGTTTTGTTGTTGCTATTGGGTACCCAATCAAGAGCTCTTACATGTCTCAGAGAAAGTTCTAGTGAAAGACAGCCAATATAATGCACCTGTACTGTAATTAAACACATAATATGTTCAAAAATAGTACCGTATGCATGTAGAAACAGTGGAAATAAGCACTCCATACAAACTATACCATTCATGGTGTCCTTGAACTGAAAAATGTATTTTATTCCTTGACTTCATGTGCACCTGAAGAAAACCCAGCCAGTAAAAGAGACTTTGAAAAGAGCACCAAGAAATATCATGGTCTCCTAAAGAAACAAGAACAACTCCTAAGAGGTAAAATGATTTATTCTCTGTGATTATTATGTATTAACTACAAGTAGAGAGTAAGAATATTTGAGAGTGAGAATATTTGATGTAAGTATCATGAATTTAATATTTAGGAAAAATTTATGGCTTCATGCAGTTCTCAGTTATGTACAATTACTTCATACACTATACAACCAATTTATTCATATGTTGCTGTTACTAGTAGTATATGGTTTTACAGCACTACAGAGTTCAGCTATTATTGACTTAGAGTAAAATTAATGTTTGCTTAAATTACAGGATAAATAACAAAGTCATCCCTATTTTGTTAAATATCTGGATTCTTGCCAATGTGTAACACCCTGGTTCTAATGTTTTTTTAAGAAGAAAAAAAAATCCCTGAGCAAATTTTCCTAGACAGCTAGGTAATATATATTTCATTGCATACTGCTTTCAGCTTGCCAAATTGCCTTGAAATCACTGCCTAGGATGATGCATGACCATATTTCACAGACTTTAAAGGTATAGACCAGTTTTCGAAATGCCCCCCTCTCAAAAAATGAAATGAAAAGAATATGTTTTGACTAATATGTTATGATAAAAACCGCCTTCTAATTGATATATTTGGTAAATTATCATATCTATTCGGCCTGGATAGTCCCATATACATCTTTCTGTGTACAGTGCTTGTAACTTTACCAAGACTGGGCCAAATTTCAGATGTTTCCAGAACTTTTCAGTACACACCGATAATTATATGCTAGATGATCAACCTTTTCTGATCGATTCCACAACGTTTCTTTCACAGTGCAATCGCATGACCAGAACTGGTCTATACCTTTACACAAGTTCCCCATGAAGCAACCTGACTTCTGTATCTTATAAATTATGTCTCATATTTTATCGCTCTCTTCATCTGTGCAGTATCCTTCTACCTGCTCCTCAACCTATCGGAGGACCCCAAAGTGGAGCTGAAGATGAAGAATAAGAACATCATCCGCCTCCTCATCAAGACTTTGGAGAGAGACAACGCTGAGCTTCTCATCCTCGTCGTCTCTTTCCTCAAGAAACTTGGCATTTATGTAGAGAACAAGAACGAAATGGTAAATTGTTGCTATATAAAATTAGCATCTATTAGGTTTCCATGGTATTTTAGGCAGCATTTATCTTGAGAACGAGGTTAAATTGGTAATAACTTTCACAGAAACTAGGCATCTATGTAAAAAACAAAATTGATATTGTCAATGGTTTGTGTAGGAACTTGGCATCTATGGAGAGAACAAGAATGAAATGTTTGCATTGAGACCCATAATCTGTTTTTAGATGGGCTAGAATATATGCCCTGCTAATTTTACGGAAGCCAATCCATTATTTATTTCACATATCTAAGAATGGTACTCATGAGGTGTAGGCTTGAATATATATATATTCCCATTTTAAATGGCTTCAGAATTAAATGTTAACCCAATGAAATATGCATAGGAAACGTGCAACAGCTATTTTCCCCCTCTGCAAAGTTAAAGCAAATCCCAAAACATGTACAAGGAAGCTGAAATTATTTTAAGAAGGTTGTTTTAGAGGCTCTTTTGTATGAATAATAAAATTATGATAATTTGCTAATTGGAAACATTTGCTATTTTATGTTGCAGGCTGAACAACAGATCATAGAGAGGTTGGCAAAGCTGGTACCTTGTGACCATGAGGTGAGAAAATATGATAAATATACCAATCAGTCAGTAGTGATGCTAAGATTGCACTGAAGGGTTATTTTAAAATTCTTATTTCTTTTTTTACTTTTGTTTTGTAAATGTAAATATTTAGACCTACGTCCAGATATTTACATTCTTTTTAATGGTTTGTTTTCTATTATTTTTAAAACCATATTTTGTGATATGATGAAAACCTGTCAGGGATCCAAGTTGATACTTCAATCAGAAACAAAGATAAAATATACTTCTTGCATGAATATGTGAAATAGGGAATATAAAGAGATATAAATAGATATAGAATACATCACACAGGTGAGATTAACATGTTACACTTATAGACAAAATAGACTGGTTTAGACTGCATACTTTTTAGACAAAGGTTGTTCTTGACAACCTGAAATCTTGCCCAACATACCAACACATACTGTATGCAGACTGGATTCCAAGTATTGTAGCTCATTCATTCATAACAGGTTGACAGAATAACTTGTCACTAGGTACCTGGGAAAGAATCATCAATAAATATGAAATATTAATATGTTAGTAAATAAATTGGTCTATTGAAATGAGGCCCTTTTTCACATCATGATGTCTTTTCTTGTTTGCAGGATCTTCTGAACATCACATTAAGATTACTGCTCAACCTTTCCTTTGATACTGATCTGAGAGGGAAGATGATCAAACTAGGCATGCTTCCAAAGTTTGTTGAACTTCTAGGTGAGGTCCAGTATGAAATGTGACATTGCAATCTATGAGTGGAGTCCATCATTATTTGTTTTTTCTGTAGACCTACATTTTATGCAATCTTAGTCAACATGGTCTTTCAACTATTTTCCTAATATTCTTTATATATCAGGAAAAAAACGATGTTTGAGAATTTTGAAAAAACATTCAGTGTTCATAATTATAGTTATATACAATAGTGCAGTTAATTTCCTTTTATATTTCATTTTTCCCTGAGGAAAAAGGCTTGTTTCTAAACGCATTGCGATATTGAATGCCATAACAAAATCACTTATAAAATTGGAATACATTACAATGTGTATTAATTTGTCCACTTCTTCTTCACAGTCTTGTTTGATATTCATGTATTGGATTATTGATTTTGTTACCACAGAATTCCTTTTAACTACATTAATTCATATATATATATATATATATATCTTTTTTTGTTTTCTCCTAGCCAATGACAATCATAGATTAGTGGTTCTATGTGTGCTGTACCATGTAAGCCAAGATGACAAGGCCAAGTCAATGTTCACATATACAGACTGTATACCCATGGTAGGATAATCAGTCATTCTCCTTCTCGATCACATTCTCTCTAGTGGGATCATTTTGCGTTCTCCAATAGACTCCATTTTACAGGAACCGTGTATAGATGCTCATATAGTTTCACTAATCCGCTCGGTAATGAAATGAGATTACTTGTACATGATTTGATTATTCAATTTTTAATTTTTTTATTTTGCTGGCAGGTAGTAAGTTTGTTTTTTTAGAAATGTTTGTGCTTCTGCTTAATTTGATATTCTGTACTGCACTTTGTGTAGCTTCAAGTTTCAAATATGAACACAAATTAGAATATGTGCAAACAAATAAATATATCTAGTTGTCAGCTTACTCTCATTTATGAAATGGTTGAAGTGCACCAATCACAAAGAAAATATTTTGTTCTTTATGTTGATATTTCCATGTTGACATATTATATCCAAAATATGAGCTTCTAAGGTTACTTCTGTTAAAGCTAAAGACCAGTTATGGTCATGTGATTGCATTGTGAAAGAAACATTGTGAAATCGACCAGAAAAGGTTGATCATCTAGCACATAAGTATTGGTGTGTACTGCAAGGTTCTGGAATCATCAAAATGATAAGAAATTCGGCCAAGTCTTCATAAAGTTAGAATCACTGTACACAGAAAGATGTATATGGGACTACACACACGTGCGCGACACGTGCATTTGTATCTCTCAACAGGCGAGAGATACACTAATTTACCAAATATGTCAATTAGTAGGCGGTTTCCCGTCAACATTTTTATCATCATGTATTATTCAAAACATATTCTTTCACATGATTGGTAATAAGAGCTTGCATTTCATTTTTTGAAATTGGGGCGTTTCCAATACTGGTCTTTACCTTTAAGAGATCTTGCAAGTTAAGATACACTTTCACTGAAAATACAAGCAACTTGTGAGTAGACTACTCAACGCACCCGTACACGCTCGGATAAAATAGGGCCTACACAAAACCCAAGTCTGACTCTGGTGCCGTGTGCAAAGCTTCATTTTATCCTTTACTTTCATCATACTCCTTGATATCCTTTTAATAGCCCATGGAATGCATAAATTCTAGCTTTACACTAACAATTTTTTTTTATAGGTGATTTGTACACTCTACATGTAAGTACTGAGTTTTGAGACTCCAGGGGGGTGTTTCACAAAGATCCTAAGTAGAACTTAACTCTAAGTTGGACTTAAAAATTATGGACAGCCATTGGAGTCTTAAAATGAAATATATTCAAAAGCAGAAATTCAAGTATTTTAGACTTTTTATGAATTCCACATCCAGAACATGAAATCTCCTTGATGATAGAAAATATGAATGATTTGAATCAACATTTTATGCCTTTCAAAATAACTTTTACAAAATATTTTCAAAGATGCTAATGGCTTTCCATAATTTTTAAGTCCAACTTAGAGATAAGTTCAACTTAGGATCTTTGTGAAACACCCCCCAGGACACTTATTTGACCAGGGTCCTGTCTGATATACAGAGTTTATATTAATCACAACTTATTTGCGATTGATATCAATCGCACTCGTGTACATAAGAGATTTGAGGCTGCAAACTTGCGATTGATGGGAGGACTTGAGATTGATTTGGTTCAATCGCAACTCTTTATAAGATGGAGCCCAGAATATAATCTTTGTTCTTTCTCTGTCTCCCCTCATTCCACAGATTATGAAGATGATGCTTGAATCACCCACCGAAAGACTTGAGATCGAGCTCGTAGCCCTTGGCATCAACCTGGCATGTAACAAACATAACGCGCAGCTCATCTGTGAGGGCAATGGGCTTAGGTTACTCATGAGGAGAGCCCTCAAGTTTAGGGACCCCTTGCTGCTCAAGATGATCAGGAATATATCACAGCATGATGGGCCATCAAAAGCACAGTTTATTGTAAGTAATATCTCTCTTTCTTTCTCTGTCTGTCTATCTCTCTCCCTCTCTCTCTCTCTCTCTCTTCCTCTCTCCATTTGTCTCTTTCAATTTTCATCTCTTTCTTGCTCGTTGCTCTTCTATTCATCTCTCCCAACTCCAGTATACAACTGATATTTAAATCATTTAAATTGCCAAAAGAAAAAAAAAAATCATCTTTTACCATCAATATAAGTCCAATAAATAGTTCAACTGCATGCCCTCAAACAGACTATTACCATATAATATTTGACATCTAAATTTGAGTGTTGAAAATAACTGTGGATACAAGGCATATTAATTTCTTGGAACAACCTGCTATAGCAATCTTAGATAATTTGACATTTTCATACAGGAAAATCCTGATGCAACTGGAATGTAAGGACTGCTTGAAGGAATGCAAGCTGTACATTAACCAACGAGGGAACCACCTTTGTGCTATATTGCAGATTTGGTTAAAGCCAAGCTCTTTGTTTTATAAACAAATCTTTATTCATTTTAATGTAATATACTTCCTCAGTGTTACCATTTATACACATCTCACGTATCATCAATCATTAATTTTTTGAAGAATTTTGTAATGTGATAAAATGAGGTTTTCTATAAAGAGTTTATCGTTCTGTTTTCCAACCGTGATTCTAGGAATACATCTCTGACGTTGCTCGTATCATCAAGGAATCTAATGATGAGGAGCTGGTGGTTGAAGCTTTGGGTATCATGGCTAATCTAACCATCCCAGACCTAGACTATGAGATGATCATCAATGAATTTGGTCTTGTACCATGGATCAAAGAGAAATTAGAACCAGGTATTATTCATTTATGATTGTGTTTATTTTTAAAATTATTTTTTAAAGATTAAATCTTTTAAAGATTGAAACTGAATAAACATTGTCTTTTTATTAAATTTTATTAATTTTCTTATTATTTTTATTATGGTTAATCACATTTTCATGGAATCTCGTATTCACAGACAGACGTTAAAAAGGACTTCATCTTGTAGTGCAGAAGTATCAAAGTTTGGCTACGTCAAGATGAATTTCCAGATACTTCATGAAATGTTTGCCAGAAAAATTCAGATTTTTTTCCTTTTTCTTTTGAACTCTTTTTTTCTGCATAGGCTGCATTTTTATTTGTTTAATGCACATGAAACCTAACTGTTTGATGAATTATGATCCTGCCAAATCTACTGGTTGTTCAATTAAGGTTACAGGACCACAATGATGTTATTCTTCATAGCAAGCATTTTCTCTTCTCTCTCTCTCTCTCTCTCTCTCTCTCTTTCTCTTGTCTCTGCTAACTAGGAGCTGCTGAAGATGATCTAGTACTAGAAGTGGTGATGTTGGTGGGTACCGTGGCAACAGATGACTCTTGTGCAGCAATGCTGGCCAAGTCTGGCATTATTCAATCTCTCATAGAGCTACTTAATGGTAAGCATGTCAGCCATTCGATAATCCAATTTCTCCACTAATCCTCTGGTATCTGACAATTGCATATTTTAAATCTCAAAAAGATGCTTTCATGAGTAGGACCAGTTGCACAGCAAGATTTCCCTTTTTGTTCAGCTTTAATCCTTTGTAATAATAAGTACTTGTACATTTTCATGATATAAAATACAGAGTAATGTTGCTAAGCGCATATTTAATTGTTATTGGCTACATGCATTATGCTCACATGGAGTTTTATTTGGCCTTCTCTTTTCTTTGACTTAAGATGTCAAGTCGAAGCTCATAGGTCAGGCAATTTGTCATTTCTTTGAGGGTTTTTAATTAGCAATTCCTTATTCAAAAGTGAACATAACTTTCCCCTTTGTCAACATTTCTCATGGATATGGGTAGTAGTAATTAACAGAATTGATTTGTATAACCTAAGAATCTATAGTGCAAGGAGGTTGAAAACTTATGAACCACATTTGCATACCTGCTAACCCTTCTGAATAATTTAGAATTTTCAGATTTTCTGGATTTTTAGGCCCTAAAAATTTGAATATTCTTTTTTTTCAAAATCTGAAAGATCAATTTTTTTAAAAGCCAAATTTACCTTAGGCTTGTTTTATCATGTGCCGCGATTTGAGAGTTCGCGTATTGCGTGCGTTGAATGGCTGCACAATCAAGCAGCAAATTTGTATTCATTTTTTTGTACAGATTTACAGCATATACCTTGTCAGTTACACTGCCGCTGCATACATGACCATGGTAAGGCAGTGCGATCCCTGCTAAAAATTCTTAATTCTTATTTTCAAGTATTGGCAGGTATGCATTTGTTGGAAGTAAAATGCAGGGATTGACACAAATACGATCACTTTGTTGTTTTATTATGTTTTTATTGTGTTCTACTCTTTTCACCTGCAGCAAAGCAAGAGGATGATGAGATCGTTTGTCAGATCGTCTATGTCTTCTATCAGATGGTGTTCCATGAAGCAACGAGGGAAGTCATCATCAAACTAACACGTATCCTTTTCTAACTTCTCCAAGGAATAAATAACGAACAAAGTCAGATAATAAATCAATAGCCTAGCTAGAGCCAGGTTAATTTTGGAGTGCACGTCTAGTTTTTTAAGTTTGTAATCAAGAAATAAGTGAACTTAGTTAATTTGAGGTAAAACCCTATACCTAAGGGGAACTTGCTGTCTCTGTAAGAAATGAGCATACTCAGTAGTCAACCTTTTGATTTAATCCACATAACTGAATCAAGGCCTGGGAATGCCGGTTCAGGAACCTTGCTCCTAAATCTAGCCATGTCAAAACCCCAATCAGCGTTAGGATCTATAATTTGACAAACAGTTTAAAGTCCTGGTATCTGATGTAACCTCAGGCTCAGGAACCTTGCTATCAAGCTTTTGATCTTACTGTCTCCCCAGTCCCCTATCAAGCACCTTTCACAAAATACCTGGGAAAACTGCCTCAAAATAATTTATACGGCAATATAGAGGTGTCGTGGTCTAGTGGATAAGTCGTTGGACTGTGAACCCCATGGTTTGCGGTTTAAGTCCCGCTGGGGAACTAATGTCCTTTGGCAAGACATTCCTCTACATTTGTCACACTCCACCTAGGCAATTAAAATGGGTACCTGGTAGGAATAAATGCCTTGAAATGCTAGAGCGCCTTAATGGCTAAAGCCGGGATAATAGTTTTGGAGCACCAGGAGTGTCAAGTTTGACAGACATGAGCGCTATACAAAAACCCACTGTTATTGTTATTATTAATATAAAATGTTGAGAGTATAGTAGACTTCACCCTTCTGCATACACCAAAATGAAGTGACTACACCTAGGAGCATTTGTCGCACGCATGTACTCTTTTAAATATTTGTACCCATACTTTTTTGGACCTCCAAAAAGAAGAACAGAGCCATGATATGTTTGGCAATCCAGCTGTCTTTTTAATTATTTATTTGTATACTTGTTCATATATATAATTATCTACTTGTATATATATATATTTTTTTCATATGGAAAAAATTCCAACCAACCAACCATTGATTTAATTTCACCTACATGGATTTATTCTGCCACTATATTTTTCTGTTTGCAGTTTGGTTGTAGAACACATATACTGGCAGCAGTTGCTCCTCAGTCGGTTACTCACACTTACATCGCTCCTAAAGTCAACCCTGGACCATACATACCCTAATTCTAAACCTAAGCCCAATCACAACCCAAACCCTATTAAAGTCTATCTTTAACTAAAAAAAGCCCTGAGCAAATGATGCTGGAGCATATACAGTCAAACCTGGTTAAGCAACCACCTGTATAGAAAGACCACCTGTCTATAAAGACCACATATTTTTAATTTCCCTTGAACATGGTTTCTCGTTGAAACCTATGAAAGGAACTTGTAAATATAGACTACCTGTCTATAAAGACCAAATTTTTTAATTCCCCTTCAATATGGTTTCTCTATTAAAACCTGTACTAACGGAACGTGTACTGAAAGGTCCTCTGCCTAGAAAGTCCTTTTCATGTTTCCTGTGAGCGGTCTTTATATACAGGTTTCACTTTATTGGATCACTGGTTCACTGTGTGACGTGGGCTTGGCTTGACTGTCTCCTCAATCCCTATAAAGATCATATTTCAGTTTCCTTGAATATGTTTTTTCCTTGATACCTGTACTAAAGGAACATGTACATACAGACCACTTTTCATGTTTCCCTTGAGCGGTCTTTATATACAGGTTTCACTTTATTGGATCACCGGTTAACAGCGCCATGTGTGACCTGGGCTTGAGTCACTGTCTCCTCGAACCCTATCAAGATCATATTTCAGTTTCCTTGACTTGTATCTTGCTTCCATCTTCTCAGAGGCCCCAGCATACCTGATAGATCTGATGCACGATAAGAATTCAGAGATCAGGAAGGTCTGCGATAACACCCTGGATATCATATCGGTGAGTCCTCAGTTTATTGACCTTAGTTTTAAAATTTCTTCTGCTTGCACCACTAATTGGGTTTTAGGGTTGCTAGTTTTTAGGCTTTGGTTAGTGGCAAAACCTAGATTTCTAGCAGAAATCTGGAAAAGACAGAAATTTTATTCTCACAAGCAAAAACTACAACAATAACAATAAAATTAGAAGGGAAAAAAAGGTCTCCATCTAGGTCCTAGCTTACCTGTGATAGATCTCATGCACGATAAGAACTCTGAGATCAGGAAGGTCTGCGATAACACCCTGGATATCATATCAGTGAGTCCTCAGTGTATTGAACTTAATTTTTAACATCTGTTCTGCTTGCACCACTAATTGGGGGTATGCACCAGCTACCAGGGGTTAGGGTTGCCAGTTTTCAGGCTATCGTCTAATGTCAGGCTTTGGTTGGTGGAAGAACCTAGATTTCTTGCAGAAGTCTCGTTAAGACCCCAACAAAAAAAATTCTTACAAGCAACAACAACTACAACAGAAACAAAACAATTATTTTCAAAAATAAGTTCTTGTTCTAGGTCCTAGCTTACCTAATAGATGTAATTTTTAATAAGAATGCTAAGATCTTGAAGGTTGTGATAACACTCTTGGTATTACTTCAGTAAGTAATTACAAACTTTATTGACCTCCATTTTTTTTTTCTGCCTGTGCCACTGTGATGCTGGAGACATTATTCTGCTTAGACCATTAATGTTTTGAAAATATATGGGTTTTTAGCATTAGGGCTTTGGGGTTGTCACTGCTAGTCACCAGCCACAGTATTCTATGTGCCATAAAAAAACATTTGGGTTACTTGTCCCTGATATGACTTCTTGAGTTCTCGTTGTATGAAGTCGTGCTAAATGACCTTGAACGTGTGCCAGTAGGTTCGCACAACCTAGAAACAAGTTCTTGAATTCAACAGCTCAAGCATCTATGAAACTTGAAGGTAATGCAGGATGTTATTAATGAAGAAAAATTTTCATGGGAACATTGAGTCACTTGGCTCTGGAAAGCTCATAAGGAGCTGCAAGAAATTTAAAGAGAGCCCTGATAAGATACCAACAAAAATTTGATCTGCAGAACAATTATTGTGAGAAAAGGTCCTTAAAAGAGCTTCTACATGTATAAATGAAAAACAGTTTTGTTATCTCCAGGTTTTGTGTGTCGATCGGTGTTTATGGGAGTATGTGAATTATTTGTGACCGTTATATCTCCAGAACACTCTTAAAACATTTGGCTTCAACATGTCTGTGTGTTAGTCATGAAAACTATTGACTTTCTGGGGCTTTCTGGGGGTTGGAAATTTGAAGGTCAAAGGTCATGCAGTGTGATGATCTGAATAGCACAAGTCTTGGCATTATTTTGAGGGCTTGCTAGTTTGGCTATTTGGGTACCTGGCGATGTAGAGACAATATTGATTTTAAAATTGTTATTGTATTCTTGATTTCTTCAGAGATGAGCAGAGTAGTTAGAATTCTTCAACGGTGCCTGTAACTACAATGTATATGTTTCAAACTTTAAGAAGTAGCCGAATGTTAGAATTAGAGTTGAAATTTTCATTGCAATGAGATACAAATATGTTGCTATACTCTTTGCCCAAGTTTCTTTTTTTATTTTAAAGATTATGATTATGTCAGCATTTTAAGTCAACGTATTAAAGGCACACTGCACTACTTGTAGCTACTTGCGCCCTCTATATAACAAACCATGACTAATCGGTGACCATTGGTCCCCCATGATCCTCTTTTTCTTATGTTAACTGAGAGCTGAGTTGATGAGATAACCACCTGTCCAGTGACCTTGCAGGGCAGTCTAATCCCTCCTGTAAACTGTGGCAGATACGCTTTAAGAAATAGTCACTGATATCTTTCAAAAGATACAATCATGTGATAAATGACTGATTTTGAATCCCTAATTTGTATCGGTGATTTCCCTGTTTTACCACACCCGGTTTTGCAAGAAATAAGTATCCCCCCCCCTCCCCCCCCCCCCATCTTGACAACGTGTAATGAAGACTAATTTGTTTTGCTCAGCTTCAGACTCCCCACTGTAGTAACATTACTGCGTGGCTGACATACCACCCGTCCACTTTCAAAATGAATCTGTTGGCATCCGTAGAATGTTTGGTTACATTACTCTGCCAAAGTACATGTATGGTGTGTCAATGTACTATCCATACTAACCGCAACATGTGCAAAATAATGTTATGAGTATAAGCTTAAAGATGATGTACAGAGTCAGAGGAAGTGGAAGATGTCATAATATTGATTTCCGTAAACTTTTAAAAGCTGTCAAAATATAGATTTCTGTAATCTTCTGATTTGGGGATATACTACTGGTAATAGGATAGAACTCAGGGCCACAGGCTCCAAATAGTTTGTTCTAAATTGCTTGCATTTTTGAGAAATTAGATGTTTAGTGTTGAATACCAAGGATTTGACCATCACATTTACTGATAAAGATCCTATGTTATTGCTTACTCTTCACTCATTAATATTTAATAAATCTTTCTTTTTGGTTGTATCATAAATAAAATGAACATTTTGTATGGGCCACCTTGAATGGAAATACCCTTTACTTGAAATTCACTGTGTAGAAATATTGTGCAAAGGTGAAGGAAATTACAGAGTATTTTATGACATGATTAATGGATGTAAATCATTTATCAAATTTTATCAGCTTAATAATTTTTTTAGATAAAGGGAAGAAAATCATAACAGCAGCTTGAAGGAGAGAAATTTGAATTTCTATATTTTTTTATTTTTTATATTTACCGAAAGTGTAAATGAGCTTTAAATGCAACTTTCATGTTAACATTGTCTGTCAAAATCACAAGCTCATGGCTCATCGATCACTTTTAATGATCTTGCCTCATTCACTGCTGGTTATGTCTCATGCGCTGTATACACAGCTGTTTAATTCACAACACACAAAAACATTCATCGTTGCCTCCAATACTTGCTGTGAAATATGAGTATGGGTTGTGATACTAGATTCTCTGCACTCTTGTGAACAAGATCTTGAAATATGCTTGAATTCTTTAGGTTGCATTTTTTTTTTTTTTTTTTTGTTAGAGGATGTTTAAAAAGAAAATGTATGGAGATGATGATAGTCTGACCAGCCACATGGTGTGCATGTGGTTCCCAATTGCAAATTACAGCTATGTCATATTATTAGAGGCGTTGGCAGTGTTTTCCCATGCCTAGTTGGCCCTTTGGTACCTAATATATATGCATTACACGTGTTCAGCACAAATGTATTCCTCATGACTTTTCTCTGACTATATGCCTCTAGGCTATTAATGTACAGTGTAGACGCTTTTTTACTTTTTAAATGATATAGCAGTAATCAACATCTGTACCATTGAATCAGATATACTGTATTGACCTATTTGTATGCTAATGATATTATTTCATAACAAAAATCAGTGACCTGTAAATGTACTAGTTTCTGCATAAACTATACTTCTCTAAAACTGTTAAATATACCTGTCTAAAATACACAACTTTCTTCTCATTTACTACCTGTACCTTGAATGTTTTCCCTTTTCAACAATAGGAATAGCAACCTGATATGATTACCCTAAGATAATTAATTACCCCGTTAAAATTACCTGGGTAATTAAACTAAATGCTGTGCCTTTATGATACCTACATGTAATATACCTACATGTTTATACATAAAGCTACTGGGTAGGGAGGGGTGTACATGATTGTTGAGAAGGTGGACTTTTTATCTTAATTGGTAATACTCCTGGGAGGTGTTTCACAAAGATTCTAAGTTGAACTTATCTCTAAGTTGGACTTAAAAATTATGGAAAGCCGTTAGCATCTTTGAAAATATTTTGTTAAAGTTATTTTGAAAGGCATAAAATGTTGATTCAAACCATTCATATTTTTTATCATCAAGGAGATTTCATGTTCTTGATGTGGAATTTATAAAAAAGTCTAAAATACTTGAATTGTTGCTTTTGAATATATTTCATTTTAAGGCTCCAATGGCTGTCCATAAGTTTTAAGTCCAACTTAGTGTTAAGTTCTACTTAGGATCTTTGTAAAACACCCCCCAGGAAGGGTAGTTTTAAAAGCAAAAACAGCAACAAAAGAACAACAACAACAAAAAAAAATTAAGATAATAATATATGTAACAGCAGGGGATAATTTGCCCCACCCCTTATCCATTTGTTATGTACATACAATTTAATGCAGTATTTGAAAGAAAGAAAGAAAGAAAGAAAAAACAGACATCAACTGATCTCATATCAAGTCTGAAATCTGACATTTTTGTAATAGTTTCTATTTTAGTTTCAGAACTGGGTACTTTTAGGGGATTTCCCTTTAACAAAAAACTTGTTTACTATCCAGATGTAATCTCAAGATAAAAGTTGTAAACATTTGCAAATTTGCACACATCTCTGTCCACAACCAGATTCGCATCCTCTCTTCACAGACTTGTATTTTTAAAGCGCAAAAGAATGCTCAAACTAATTATATTTGATAATTTTCAGCTAAGAAATGATCCTTGAGAACCTTTAAATTTGAAACAGAGTCTAATATCTCAGACTAGTCAACACTCGATCTAAAAATACACTTTAAAGAGTGGAAGTGGAAGAGTAGTTGCAGTGCGAGGTCTGCTCGTCACATGTTTCTCTTCCCCCCCTGAAAGATCTAAATGATAACTGTACATATACCTACATCTAAAATGTCATGTGGTTTGCATTAGATCAGGTAGACCCACTTAAGTACTAGTACTTGGTGAGCTTAATTTTTTTCTTGTAGGATTGAAAACAAAATGAGAGAAGAGAAAAATGTTGCTTGTCATGGTAGGAAATGGGGGTTAAATGAAACCAAACGAACGGAACTTTTCAGCCTTCTTCTTTTATGCTTGTAGGATATTCAACTCTTCACATTTTGTTAGGCTTTGATGTTAAGTTCGACCTATACAGTCAGTGCCTGGCTTAAACGCTCCCCAGGAAGTGGAGAATGTGCATACCTTGCGTGCAGGCATAACTGAATCTGATGATTAGGACAGTATATCTGTATAGCGCTTAGAGCCCTCAAAGATGTATGAAGCATTAAATTTAAACATATCATTTTATTGTTTATTAATTATTATTACAGTTTAAACAAAAAAAATGAATGTCAAAGAAAACAAACAATATGTATATATTTTTTAATGTATAAAGATGAAACCTCAGTTTAATTTGTAATAATTTTTTTTTAAATCTCTACCGGTATATCTTTTTCTTTTTAATTCTCAAAACACACATAAAGTTGATAAGTTACAATTCTGTAAAGATCATGGTGAAAGAGAATGACAAGAAAGCACAAGAAATGAAGAGCTGAATCACAGATATTCATAAAATTGCCCTGTCTGTGACTCCATTTAAATAATGGCTGTATGTATGCATGTTAATGGATAATGGCAAGTAGGAAATTTAATGTGAGCTCCCAACTCTTAATATAGACCATGCCACCCTGGTAAGGAGAATGTCCTCCAATTTAACGAAGTTTTATTCCCCCGTGGTTCCTTTCCACAATAAAGCTGTTTCCTTAGTTGGATCAGACTCAGAAATGAAACGGACGTAGCCAAGACGGCACGTTTAAAGCTCAGTATTCGATGTCTCTGAGAAATTGCTCCGTAATAAATTGACCTCGGTACAAAGTAAATTTAATATCTTTAAAAATTGTTATGGAAGTTAACACTTCCGGCACAGTTCAGTTCACCATATGAGGCCAGCCAGTTACGAGGTACAAATTTAATTTTCTCTTTGAAAATTTGAGGATATTAACGTTTACTTTTTGAAGATTATTGGCTAGCATGCAAGATTATCTGGTCTGTCATTGACACCCTCCCCCCCCCCTCGAAACAAAACAAAACAAAAATTCCTGCAAACTGGCTGGTTTTGTTTAATGGTTTATAACCTAGATATTTGACTTTTAAATGATGCTTGATATTATAGGGTGAATTGTTTTCAATAATTTTAAAGTGAGATATAGGTTTTCTCAATAAAGCCATTTCACTTTCATTAAAGGCATCGTTTAACAATGTTAAATCTGAGATGCATGGCCCTACGTGTTATCAGTGTCTGTGATATGGTGTAATATTGAAGACCTAAACAAAATCTTGCTTCAAAATGATCAAGAAGTGCCTCAAAAAAGTAAAAATCTTTGAGTGAACAGTTTTACCATACTCGTTTTCCGCAATAGACTGAAGTGTTATGAAAACAGTTTGGCAAACGGTTTTCAAAATAGGTAATTTCAATCATAAATATCTTGATAATTAGACAGGCGATCGGCTTGTAAAAGTCATGAGGTTCCTGACTGACCTAAAGGTTTATAATTATCATTGCAGCATGAGCTAAATCCAGAATCGGAGACAAAGTTACCGGATCTCTTTAAAGAAGAATGTACTGAAAAGCTTGTATCAAATTACTGAATCGGCAAAATCTTTACATCAAAGACTTTATTAAACCATATCAGACATTGGCTAAATTATTTATATTTTTTTGTTTAAGTTTAAAAAAAAAAAAAAATGTTGATATTCATAAGTGTAGCCAATTCATCTGATAAGAATGCAAGATGAAATCAGCGAAGTAGAACCTAGATTGTTAACTTGCAAGATAAGTGACTATTTAATGAGTTACATACATCCTGTAGAACAGGAGGAAGCGCTTTGCAGCTCATAAGTCAACATATTTCATTGAGGAAATAGAACTGCCTTCTCACTTTAAGAGGGAGTGTTAGGTAGGCCTTTCCTCTCCCAAGGCATCAGGAGATGAAAGGTTTTGCTATGATGTTGATTTATTGCTCCTGGTGAAGTTTCAGTTTCATGGCATGTTGTGTCATAGTTATCAAACATGGAGTGTGACGTTAAAGAAGTTGAAAAGGTGACAAGGGGGGGGGGGGGAAATGATGTCATAGGGGTTTCCCCTTCATTTTACTATCCACTTCCCCTATCACCCTTCTCTGTTTTTCTTTCAATTATTTTTTTTCTCTCTCCCTCTCCCCCGCCCTCTCTCTCTCTCTCTCTCCCTCTCCTTTTTGCTTTATATCTTCCCTTTTTAGTACATATGACCATTTAAACTGTTTCTTTTTCATGTTTTAATTTTATTCTCACCCTTCTTTTCTCTATTCTTTTACTCTTTTTTTGTATAGACCCCCCCTTGCTTATCTCTGTCTTCTACGTAGTGGTGGTGGTGGTTATTTTACCTGACTGCTAAGAAAGCTATAAATGCTTGTTAGTAAGCAACCAGAATACCGACAGCTTTAGGTCCTCTCGGAGGGACCTACCTCTAGATAAATATCCAAATTATTCTGTTTCCTCCCTCAATTTCCATACCTATATCTTGAGTACTATTAAATTTTAATGCATGACTTGTGTTCTATGTGCAGGAATTTGATGAAGAGTGGGCCAGGAAGATCAAGCTGGAGAAGTTCCGATGGCACAACTCCCAATGGCTGGAGATGGTGGAGTCACAGCAGATAGACGATGGTGAAGGAGGACTCATGTACGGAGATGAGAGTTACAGTCCCTACATCCAGGAGTCAGACATCCTTGATAGACCAGACCTATTCTATGGACAAACAGGTAAGTGCTGCATTTTTTTCTCATTATAAAACAGTGGTCTTTGAGATCATCCAGGAATCATATGTTGCAATGGATTTAGATGCTACCTTATGGTTATTAAACAGAGAAACTGTCTTTGAGATCGTCTATGAATCAGACATCCTAGATAGACCAGGGGAGTGTTTCACAAAGATCCTAAGTAGAACTTAACACTAAGTTGGACTTAAAAAGTATGGACAGCCATTGGAGCCTTAAAATGAAATATATTCAAAAGCAAAAATTGGATTATTTTAGACTTTTCATCAATTCCACATCAAGAACATGAAATCTCCCATGATAATAGAAAATATAAATGATTTGAATCAACATTTTATGCCTTCTAAAAAAAAAATTACAAAATGTTTTCAAGGATGCTAATGGCTTCCCATCAATTTTAAGTCCAACTTAAAGATAAGTTCAACTTAGGATCTTTGTGAAACACCCCCCTGATCTATTCTTTGGGCAAACAGGTAAGTTGTTGCAATGGATTTTCGACGCTCTCTCAGGTTCATTTTACCAAGAAATGCAAACTTTGAGGTCTTTCAGGAATTGGACATCCTAGATAGATTTACCAGATCTATTCTATGAACAAACGGGTAAGTTCTTACTATGGATTTTCAATGCTGTCTCAGGGTCTTTTAACCAAGAAATGCAAACATTAAGGTCTTTCAGATATCAGAAATCCTAGGTAAGTGTTGCAACATATTTCTAGACATTACCTCATTTTAAAACAGTGGTCTTTGAGATCATCCAGGAATCAGATGTTGCAATGGCTTTAGATGCTACCTGATGGTTATTAATGAGAGAAACTGCCTTTTTAGATCTTCTTTGAATTCGAAACCCTAGATAGACCTGATCTTTTCTCTGAAAAACCAGACGAGTTCTTTTGCAATTGATTTCCAGAAATGTTACCTTACAGCTATTTGACCTAGAAACCACATTACAGTCTGTAAAATCACCCAGGAATCAGAATCATGTGATAGCAATGTCTCATAACAAGCTGCAATTGATTCATATTGACCCCTAATCATCTAATCGATCTAAAACTTTCGAAATCATATCTCTTTTATAGTACAGGTTGAGGTTGGCACCAAGTTGCAATATATAATTGAATTAATCGTAACTATTTAAAGACATTATCTGATCTCAATCATCTCATAATCTCCTTTCCAAGTGGGATCACCCAACCTTTTGCATGTGGGGTTTCAAAGTTTGAAATGATGCTTCATAAGAAAGCATATTTCAGAATTAATGCTCACAGATTATTAACTGTGAGTTTTAATGGCATATTTATTTGTTGTACAGTCAAACCTGCTTTAGTGACAACCTGTATAGAAAGACCACCTGCCTATAAAAAGACCATTTTTTTCTTGTCTCTATTGAGTGATCTTGAAATACATGTTTCTCTGTATTTAAATGACATTTAAATTTGGTTTACCTGTTTTCCCGCTCATCCTTCGATGCATGATTTCCTTTTCAAATCATATTGATTTTACCTCCTGCAGGGTATGAGGATGGAGAGATGTACGATGGCCAGGTGACACCTGAGTACGTGGATGAATACGGCAATGTACAGAATGGGGAGTACCTGGGAAGACCAGCTTCTGCTATGTATGGCAACAGGTGAGGTTTCTTGGAAATTTTGTATTATTTTCATTTTTAACAAAAGAATCAAATCTGTGTCTAGGTTAATTGCACATCAAAAAAGTATTATTTTTCGCTTTTGTGTTTACTCTTAACAGATTGACTATTAAGCCAGATATTACTCAGACAGCACTCAATAGAAATTGTTCGTTAAACCAGAGTCAAGTGGTATTTAATGGGTTAAATGTGTGTACTAGTGAACGTCATTGAAAAATCTTCTCTTTTTGGATTGGATTGTGTATATATCTATTTTAACATTTTGAAAGATCAGATACATGTATTAAAAAATCTTTAGCATCATAAATATGGTTTACAGTGTTTAAGTGTTGTTTTTTTTTTTGCCTACTTTTGTCTACCTTAAAAATTGAATGCATTTGTCATGTCAAACCCACCTACTACTTTGCACTGTTTATGCCTAACAACTGCATGAAGTGTAAAGAAATCTGTTCCATGTTAAAAAGTACTGGCTAATGAAATTTGTTACATCTAGCAAAATGTTTCAATATCACATATTTTTCTCTTTCCATCCAGGTATCAATCAGAGTATGAATCCCTCAGGCCCGGGTCAAGGGTCGCATATCTCACCGAAGATGGGCAACCTTTAGATGAATACGGCAACCCCATCGAGGTCTATGCTGAATCAGTAGACCAGTATGGCCGTCCTGTCACTCCGACGTACCAGTATGGCTCACAGGCACAGCAAGGCCCAGGTTACCCGTACTGATCAATATCGACTCTTATCTAATCATTGACACATAGCAAATGGACAGGATACTTGGTACTGAAGGGTGTACCAATATGGCTGCTAGTGGGTGTACCAACATGGCTGCACAGTGTCCAGAAGTTATATGAATATATCTGATGCAGTGATCAACAGCTACTGTGATATTTGAAATTGGACAGAACTACCTGCTACTTATGGATTTACCAATATGGCTACCATTTGGGTGTACCAACATGGCTGGACATCTCCTACAAATATTACCGTATTCGTTCAAGTTGTAGTGATTAACACCTGTGATCCTAGCAATTAGAACAGACCACCTGCTCCCAAAGTGTTTGCAAATGGTTGTACCAATATGGCTGCCTGTGGGTGTACCAACATGGCCGCTAAGTTTCTGTTGACGATGTGAACTTCTCTGCTGTGGTGATCTAAATCTGTGATCATAGGATTTGGACAGTTTACTCATAAAAACAGTAATTACAGTAATTTCTTCAGACCACGTTAATCTATAATATTAATGAGATTAATCTTCAGTGATTAAAGTCTATTGAGAATTCCAGGGATGCCAGAATTCAGGCCCTGGCAAGTTATTTTCAGACCATAGTTTAGGCTTTTTTGTGTACAAAATACTGAGCTCATTCTAGGTGATTTTCAGGCCCTCTGATCAATCCTAACTGGCATCTCTGGAGTTCATAGAGGCAATGGTTTGGGAGGCAATTATGTTATCATTGAATGTATTCTCCCCCGCAATTTACATGTGGTTATGTCCCTATCCGTGGATTGTGGTGATTCATATAGTTGTGAGCTTGACAGGTAATGCACTTATTACTTAAAGGGACTGATCAGCCCACCTCACAGTCTATTAGTAATACCTGTCATATCTGTGGACAGGGTATTCTGTTCCGGTCATTTGACTACCAATAAGAGAATTAAGAATAGGAGTGAATAAAGACATTCTGAAGCTTTTTCATCTTCCACTCATCAGAGTAATTAGTAAACCACAAGAATGAACAGAAAGCTGAAAATGGACAATATAAATGGAAACTAAAGAAACAAAGGGCTGGAAAGAATAACCAGCTCTGATTGGCTACTCAAAAGAGAGTTAGAGTGTGAATATTGGTTCATTTATAATAATAAAGCTACCTTTGTTCAGGTGTAGTGATGGGAAAAGGATCTGCCAGGTGTAATTCCTGGGATGCTTTGAGTACTGTAGTGGTGGCTACATGTTGGTCGAACATAGGATAATAGGGACTTTTAGATTTGCACAACGACAACGTGGATTGCTACGATCGACGTCCTTTTAATGTACTGCCTTGAATGGACGTCACACGTATCAGTCCACGCAAATCTAAAATTCCCTAATGTTGGTGGAGTGCCTAGAGTGTCACTGATATGAGTGCCATATCAGAATCCAGTGTCATTGTTATGATTAATATAATTAATTATTGATTTGGGATTCAATATACTTTGGATTCAATGAATTTAATAAATATACCAATGGTGAAATTTGGGACTTTAATTTCCCAATCCCAAGCAATGTAATTACTTGATTTACTGCCAAAAAGTGACGAAGAAAAATAATTTAATCCGTGTTGTGCGACCTTATGCAAAATCTTCAAATTGGCAATGTGAGTGAGTTCTCTACCTTTGAGTGAAAGGTGCAGAACCTATTAACACCTGCATGGATCTTTTAAACACCGACTTAACTACTCACCTTCAAAGCTTCATTCACACGTGTCTAAGTAAACCACCTAGAAATAAGGGCCGCAATAAAATAACATTACCGGTATTTGACATGTAAATGAAAAAATGGCCATGCTACATGTACATGTACAATACATGTGTATTGTAAGGCACAGAAATATGAATTGCACTATGCTTGTGTCGTGTCATTTGTGCCACAGCTTTTTCCTTCTTGGGAGGTGTGGGGAGGGGGGTAACCGTTCCAAGTGTGAATGGGGCTTATTAATAGTGTGAGAGCTTGCATTCCTAGGTAGTGCACTCTCTGACAATTCGTCACATAACGAGTACCCCCCTTGACAGATCCTGTCAGAGTGTTCAGTAAAGCTCGGTACACCTGTATAGGAAGTGGGTATTTACTGCGGGCTTAAAGACTTAAAGGGGGGAGTCACCCTGATATTAAGTTGGTTTTGATAGAAGTAGAAAATGTGAAGGAGCAGGTGAGTAAAAGTTTGAGCAAATTCTGATTAAACTTAATTATTTAAAAATAAGAAAGTTATGAACTTTTGTGGTTATGATCAATTAAACACAAATTGGCAACTCTGTGACACGTCATGTGAGCTCCCAAAGTGTCTCTTTAAAGAGAAGGTTGGGTCCTGGTAAATATGATGAATATTGTGAGCTTGCTCATTATTTCTTTGTCAGTGGGGAAGAATATCATGGTAGCCATGGCCCCTTATAAGAATTACTCCTCACATGCCCCCATATTCAAAATGTGACGAAAAATAAGTGAAAAGTTTGGACCAAACTTTCATGCAATATCTTTATGTTGTGACATGTACCTGTTTCTGTGTAGCGTGCATGTGCAAGATCAAGTAAATTTCTTTTTGATCATTCCAAGTAATGTGGCATTAAGTGTTTTAATGCAGAGGCAAATTTGACAAGAAAAATCAGGAATAAGAAGACAAAAAACATGCAAAATTTGTTTTCGAGAAAATATTACCAGTATGCATCTACTCATACCTTGATGGTACTCATATTTAAACTTTTTAATTAAAGTGCATGGATTTCAAAATACCTTAAAGCCCCACTGCACTACTTATAGCTACTTGCGCCCACTATATAGCAAACAATGCCTAATCGGTGACCATTGATCCCCCACGACCCCCTTTTTCTTATGTTATTGAGAGCTGATTTGATGAGATAACCACCTGTCAGTGACCATGCAGGGAGGTCTAATCCCTCCTGGCCAAACTAGTGCAGATAGGCTTTAAGGAAAAGAGCTGCACCCAGTACTACAAAGAATGGGTATAAATTACTTTAGATTTCAGCTGATTTCAAAGCATAATGAATTTTATGTACTTATAGTACTTTATATTCTATTTATGAGACTACGTATGTACATATTTGTGTGTATTTGTATATTTATATCAAGTGGAATGTTGTGTGTTGCAATAAATGTAAAGAATATGAAGTTAACATGCCTATATATCCAAGTTTTTGAAGTATGCATCATGTTTACTGTGTTGTGGAGATGGATAGTATAGAAGATGATATCAGTAAGTTGGAGAAGCAGTGATCGCTCTGGAAGTCATTGGAAGCTTGAAAGTTAGAGTATTGTGCTTGATGATAATGAAGTAATAATGTTGTTTTGAGGTAGGGGATGTTAAAAATGTCAATAACCTTGATAGTATCATATGAAACACTGATGATTACAATGGTGATGATGATGATGATGATGATGATGATGATGATGATGATGATGATGATGATGATGATGATGATGATGATGATGGTGATGATGATCATGATGATGATGATGATCATGATGATGGTGATGATATACTAATGATAATGATGGTGATGAATATAATGATGATGTTGATTATAATACTGCATGATCACAATGCATAATCTTTATCAATAATACATGTAGTAAATATTGACAATAGAACAATTGATGATGATGAGGGCGATGATGCTGATGATGGTATTCATCTGAATCATGATGGTGATGATTATATTAATGACAAAAGTCCATGATTAATATCAGTGACATGATTTATAACGACAATGGAAATATTTATGATGATGACGAGGACAACCGTGATGACGACGAAGAAGTTTTAAATCTTCCGAAAGGATAGTTGCATTCTGAACTTTTCACACTCACGAGTTCGAAAAAACACATTATTTAAAAAGAATTGGAAAAACCCACATGAAACCCACTCTAGGAAATATAAACTGACGTTGTCGATTGAGCAGCCAGACGCGAAATTATGTTTCATTCGTTAGCTGCTAAACACACTCATCCCCCGGCAGGTTGACACAGAAAACAAGACGGGTTGAATCTGAAGGAAAACAGAAGGAAATCGAAATTGTGACGTGGATCTTAACATTTTGACATTTCATCGCGTCGAATCACCCCCAGGAATAACCATTTTGTGTGTCTTATTAGTTTACGCACTTCCGTCCCGGTGGGGTCACTCAATGTGACTTCCGGACCGCATGACCGTTACCAAAATCGCGGAAAAAGGGGTCAATTTCAAGCAATGTCCGCGGACAAAACATTCCTCGAAATTAAGAAAATAGGGGGGCACATGTGTCCCCGAAATTGATAAATAGGGGTCAGGAAAAGGGAAAAGAGAAAACCGGGAAGGGAAAAGAGAAAACGGGGAAGAAAAATTCTCGGAGCCGAGTCTTGTCCTTGAAATATGGTAAAATAGGGGTAAATTTGCGAAAGTGTCCTTACAATCTTATAAATAGGGGTATTCCAAAGTACGATTTTGTCCTTGTTTTGACGTAAAAAAGGGGGTTAAATTTCACAAAATGTCCTTGAAATTGACCGCAAAAGGGGGTTATATGCATTGGTGGTAACGGTCATACGTGTCACTCTTTGCAGGGGAGTGACCCCACCCACCGGGACTTCCGTTTCGCTTTCAACTGTTTTCCTTTGGGTTTTTTCTTCTTCTTCTTATTCCTCTTTTGTTTCTTCACAAAAAATGACAGTCCTAGCCCGTTGTTGGTATCCAAGCATCATTGACTAGCCAATACAGTATCTTGATACGTTGTGTTTATTGGATTCAATCACATTTTCTATTGAAGTTGCTCACAAGCTACACATTCAAAGAGATATCGTATTAGTGTAATAGTTCTTCGACGTGTTTTTCTATTTTTTAGTTAGTTTCTCTGTTATTAGTTTGTGGAAGGAGGAGAGTATAGGCTTATCTCCTTTCTTTATTTATATCTTCCTTTCTTTCTTTCATCTTTTCCTCTCCCCCCCCCCCCCCCCCCTCCCACATCTTCCCCTCTCACCACTTTCTCTCTCTCTTTTCACTGCAATCTCCCTTTTCCCCGTCTGACAATATCTTTTCCCTTTCCTCCGTCAAAATCAATTTAGGTATGTTTCTATTCTCTATGTTCATAGTGATAGACTAGAAATACCAGCTCTGAGAGAAAATAAAAATGAGAAATGATTAATGGGAGGCATATAGTACACGTCTTCGTTTTATATCTCTCTCTCTCTCTCTCTCTCTCTCTCCCTCTCTCTCTCTCTCTCTCCCTCTCTCTCTCTCTCTCTCTTTCTCTCTTTCCCCCTCTCTCTCTGTCTCTCTCTCTCTCCCTCTCTGTTTCTTTTTGCTCTCTATCGCTCTCTTCCCCCTCCCACCCCTTTCTCTATTTCCACTGCCATCTCCCTCTTACTAATTCGACGATATCATCTCTCCCGAGATTCTGGCGTCAAAATCAATTTGGATACGTTTCTAGTCTCTCTGCATAGTCATAGACTAGAA